GCTCTGGACAGGAGTTCCATTCCATAGAGCCTTCCATATAAAGAGTTGATACTTGTATGGTATCTTTAATTTCCATAGGATAGATCATTTAAAAAAGGAATATGATGAAGAAGGCCTATTAGGAAGAAATTCCTTATAAATGGATTTGACTGAAAAAACTTCACTTTTAGTTCTGGTCCAAACAAGCTTATCCCTTGGAATCTCACTTAGGAGTCTTACTTTTTTAACTTGTTTTAAAGATGCAGGAGGAAAGAACTATCCAAGTAGAGACAAATCCCAGCTGTTATCATTATTTAAGAAACAAGAGACCTTCATATCTTTTAATTGTGGTGGAACTTGAAGATCCCATGGAAAACTTGGAAACCAAGGATCTTAAAAAGCCTTTATCTTTTGACCATCATGAAGGACCCATCAAATATTGCTTTTAATGGATGATAGTAGTTTGAAAGCTTCCCTCCATCAAGGAGAACAATTCCTTTTCAGTTTGACTTTGAAAATACTATTATTGGGATAGTATTTAGCTTTGATAAATTTGCCTAGAGAGAATTTTCATCACTTATGAGCCTCCAAATTTGTTTTGGGAACATTGCCTTGTTCATTTCTAGGCCTGTTCTGAGCCCAATTCCTCCTTTGTGCTTAGGCTGACATAGTTTCTCCTGTGAAATTGAATGAAAATTACAGCCATCTTGAGAGCCCGTCTACCAAAAATTCCTGCATAATTTATCATAGTGTGAAAAGAACTTTTTTGGCAAAATAGTTGTGCTCGTAGTGTAAATAGGAATAACTTGAGCTACTGATTGTATTAAGGTACTCCTTCCTGCTTGTGAGAGAAGTTTTTCTTGCCAAGACTCTAATCAAAGTTTCAGCTTATGAAGCAAGTCTTGTTGTTGCTCCTTTTCTGCCTTATTTCCCCCCATCTTGATGCCAAGGTATTTCATGTAGGTCTTGACATTTGTAATACCTAGGATTGAAGATAAGATTCTTCTATGCCTTTTAGGTATATTGTTACTGAAAAGTATACCTGATTTGGAGATATTGATTTGTTGGCCTGATAATTTTTCAAATCTATTTAGTATGGCCTTAAGATTTCAGAGCTATTGAGGAGTGGCTTCACAAAACAGTAAACAGTCATCTGCGAAGAGAAAATGACTAAGGCAAACATTTGAGCAACTTAGTTTGTAGCCAGAGATGAGACCTAAAGCTTCTGCATCCTGCAGTAGTGAAGTGAGCACCTGCATGTCTATGATAAAGAGGTAGGGGGATATTGGGTCCCCTTGCCTAATGCCTCTTTTTAATTTGAAGCAACTTCCTATTGAACCTCTTAATTTGACAGCATATGAAGGTGTTGAAATACATTGTTCAACAAGATTACACCATTTGGAAGGAAACTTCATAGCTTTGAGTGTCTCTATAATGAAAGACCACCCCATCCTATCAAAAGCTTTTGACATATCTATTTGTAAAGCAATCCAACGCTTACCTTTGCGTTGATTTCTCATTGAGTGTAGGATCCTGGGCAAGCAAGATGTTATCTGAAATCCGTCTTTCTTTTAGAAAACCAGCTTGGTTCGGAGCAATGATGTCTTGGAGAAGTGGTTTTATCCTATTAACCATCCACTTTGTGACAATTTTGTATAACACATTATAGAGACTGATTGGTATTTGTTTATTTCTTTAAGTATATGTTCATTGTTGTAGAAATCTAGAACCATTTGGTAAATCTCCTGTTCAAGGGAGGACCAAAACTTTTGATAGAAAAAAGCAAAATATCCATCAGGCCCCAGAGACTTATGTGGGTTCATTTGAAATAATGCTTCTTTGACTTCATCACATGTAGGAGGCCTCATGAGAGTGAGAATTTGAGTGTTTGTCAAAGTCAGGAGTGAGATGCTATTCAACCCTTCCTTGATAAATAACTCATCTACATCACCCACTTTTTGAGCTTCCCTTTCAAAAGCCTCCATGATATCTTGGCTTTCAATCAACCAAGAGTTGTTTGGTCTTCTAAGGCACATTACCTCTTAATGTCTTCTCTTGTGTTTCACCATTTAATGAAAAAATTTCGTATTATGGTCACCATATTTGAGCCATAGTTCCCTGGATTTAAGTCTCCAAAAATGTTCTTCTTTCTTAAGCCAATCATCATATTGTGATTGAAGATATAGCAATTCCTTCTTTCCTCCATGAGACTTTAAGGATTGTTGTAAGGCTTGAATAGCATTCTGGATTGAATGAAGTTGAACTTCAGTTCTTCCAAAGACATTCATATTCCATTCCTTCAACATTGATTTGCAAAGTTTAAGCTTTTGGACTATTCTGTATGCAGCTGATCCTGTTAAGGTCTGTTTCTATATTAATTGGATAATTCCCTTGCAATCATCATGATCTGCCCATATGGATAAAAAGTGGAATTGGGACTTGCCACGATCTACTTTCATGGAAGTATCGAGTAAAATTGGGTTGTGATCATAGTGGATCTTTGGGAGGTGCAGTATCCTGGAGTTGGGAAATAACGATAGCCAATGATCACTTGCTAGTGCCTTGTCTAATCTTTCGAAAACTCTATCCTGTCCTATCTAGCATCTGGCCATTGGTCCATGTATATGGGGGGTCCAATGAATCCCAGATCTTGAAGAGCAAATCAGTCTAGAACCTCTTGCATTATTGACGATAATTGAGGAGTATAATTCCTTCTTGAGTGGTAGTCTATTTGAACACATATATCATTCATGTCACCAATTAAAATCCAAGGGTTGTTCTCAAGCTCAGTGTACTGAAGAAGGGTTTCCCATATTTGTCTTCTATGTTCACGTTGTGGATGACAATAGAAAAAAAAAACAAGAAACTAAGATGACACTAGAGGTAGATCCTCAACTCTTAATTTGATAATATGGGAGTTTTGGAAGAGTATGGAGAGAGAGATATTTTGATCCCAAAAGCAGAGAAGACCACCTAATTGCCAACAACCTCTACCAAACAATGATTCATGAGAGGGAACTTCTTACAGAATTTCAATGCATTTTCCTTTGACATCCGAGTTTCAGATATAAACATGAAGTCCAATTTATGTCTGCGATTGAGGAATTTTAAATGTCTCTGCATTTGATGGTTGTTTAAACCTTTCACATTCCATGAAAGTATTTTCATATTTGTAGTATCTCCAAATATAAGTGCAAACCATATAAATGTATATTTTATGGAGAGAATGATTACTTGAGTGCCCAAGTTAAATAGCTGCCACTTGTATTAAGAAATGTATGGCCTGTAAGTAATTAAGAAACCAATGCTATCGGCTCAAGAAAACCGTGGGCTAGTATTTTATAGGTGGAAGCAAGTGTAACTGCCACGTATTGTGATGGACCTATGATCCCCACTTGTTGTGAGGGAGTGTTGCATGTTGGAGACGTGGAGAGTTATAAGAAATGAGATAGGATATTGTTCATCTTCCAAGTTATTAGCCTGGTTGACTCACTTCTACCTGTTGCCTGAAAACCTGAAGCCTATGATGCCTTCCATCAAGGATTCCCTCTAAAACAGATTGTTGAACGTGAATAGATGCCACCAGATTTCCTAGTTGTCTATGTCTCCTTTATGTGATAGCAGGATTTGAAGAGAAATAAAAGTATTGAAATGAGAACTAACCCTGACATAGAAAAAAAAAAGCTTAAAATCGAGCGAGATAAATACAGTCTTAAGGCCGAAGAAACTTGACTATAGGCTTGGCGCCAATGAATTACTACAGGTTTGATGTCGATGTGGACTCAGACTTTGAACATGCAAGAAATAGGCTTGATGCCGATTGTTCTCAGGATCGAAATTAAAGTTGAAGTCGTCCGCTATCTTCTACGATGGTTGAGACTTGAGAGCCTCATTTTGGATTCATTTTCTTTCTCTACCAATAGCCATGTATTCACTCCTATGACTAGTACACTTAGCTGTCTTACCTCTACGACTTGAGTTAGGCCTACTCAAAATGCACCCCCTAAGCCCTAACTCCTTTTGCCTCAATTTCTTTTAACAAAAATCATTACATCGCACGGGTTCCACTAATAAATTATAAAACAATAACATTATTATTACTTGTTAAGCCCTAAATAGTCAATACTTGAACGCCAATAAGATAATATAATAATTTATATTGATCGATTCAAAACATAATGGCAACGCAACACCACTCCATCAAACACCCCTGATATCACTGCTTTCAAAACCAGACTGGACCGGACGGTCGGACAGAAAAATCGGGAACCAGTCACCTGATTTATTCTGTTTTCCTCCAAAACCGTTTTTTCCCTAAAGCTGTTGATTTTGATCAACAAACCGCTGAACCGACTGATTAACTGTTCAAACTTTCGAATGGTTTTAACCGTTTTCCAATTTTTAAAATTTTTTTTGTCAGAACGGGTTAGTCGTTCCGATCGAACGGTTGGACCGTTTGAACCAATAACTGGACCCCTAACCGATTCGTTTTTCAAAACCATGCCTGAGTAAAATAATCTTGGAGAAATCGGGGCGCAACGCTTTTTGGGTAAACAAACAAAAGCATCTTTTTTTTAAGTAAAATCTTTGGGTGAAGTTAGAGCCTGGAAGAGCAGTCATGGAGTTCTTTCTTTTTCTTTGTCAAAATGAGATAAGTAAAGTCTAGAAAAGAATATAAAAGGTAGCTATCGTAGGATTGTAGGAATTTATTGGAGAGGGACCCAGAAAGCTGGTCTCAAATAATCCAATAAGATGCTCGTCTATTGCGAAGACAATGAGACAAGTGTTTATTTCTAAGCCCTCCAACATCCTTCAATCTTCATTTTTCATTTTTCATTTTTCAATGATGTTGAGTACTGACTATTGAATTGTAACTTTTAAACAATGTATTGTCGCCGACTGGAACTTGGAGAAGAAAATAAAACAGGATTTTTGGAATTTTGGTTGCCCACCTTGACCAATGTCATAAACGCTTACAAAGCTAGTGAGACCTCATAAATGCTAACAGATCAAGAGCAAGATTAGTAAATCAGATATTATATTATATTATATTACAAACGTAGTTCAGTTTAAGCACTGTTTCTCTTTTTTCCTGAACAGAATTTGGACTAGTCAATTTCAAACAACATCCAAATCCCCGTAACTAATGTTAGTTTTTCTCTACCTCCATTGTTGCTTCTCTTTTCAACCTGCAGCTCTCGCAGCACACACTGTACAAAACTACAAACCCATTAAACCCACTTAGCTATATACATGCAGATGCAGTCAACAGAAACTCACTAGAGGTAATACTAAAACAGCATCTCTACAGGGAGTCTGTGTGGACTCGAAGACGAAGCTTCTTGCCTGAGCTCTCTCAGGTATCCAAGCAGCGTCTCAGCCTGTCAAAAACAACCATTTAGATTTATTAGTTCTAAATTCAAGCACTTGTCTAGTTTGTACTGTTCGAGTAATATCTAATGATAATGGGCGATTCGCGTTATAAACGAACCTTCTGTTTGGCTCGAGCTGTTCCCGTCTGAGAGAGCGCAACAATCGGAGGGATTCCACCTTCCCTCACCAGCAACCCTCTGTTGCGCATATTGTCAGCACAGAGTTGCAGAAGCGTCAATACAGCAAACTCCTTTCCTTTCATTGACCCGTCTTCGATTGCTTCCACTAGAACCACAATCCCTCCTTCTTTCACAATTGCTTCTATTCCCTCTGGAATTGCAGCTAAGCTGTTCAGAACCACCATCGCCTTCTCCGCCAAACCGCTCCCCTGCTCCGGAATCAAGACCACTAGTGGTTTCACGGCTCCCGCGCTAACGGCCCTCTCTTTGTTCTGTTTCATCGAGCAAAGCTTGTAGAGCGTTGTAAGCGCGTCTTTCTTCCCTCGGTTCGATCCATTCAGGAGCAAAGAAACCAATGGCGGGATGGCGCCGCACGCACCGATAGAGATCTTGTTGTCTTCTATGAATGAGAGACTAAGCAAAGCACAAGCAGCGTTCTGCTTCGACACCTCTGTACCGGTTTTCAGAACGTAAACAAGAGGCTTTATAGCTCCTGCTTTTGTGATGGGGACCTTGTTCCCCTCATGCAGAGAGAGGTTTAATAGAGCGGTTACCGCGTGTTCTTGAGTCCAGGGATCGCCACAACGAAGCAGGGGAATCAATGCTGGGATAGCGCCGGATTCACCAATTAATGCTCGATTTTCAGATCTATACTTTGCCAAGAGACGTAATTTTGCTCCAGCCGAGCGTTTTATCGTAATCGACGAGGATTGAAGACCGTCCACGCAGATTCTCACCACTGGTTTGAGATTTTCCGGGGAAGTGTTGTCAAATATATCTGACGAGAGGTTCTCTCGTTGCAGGAATCCTAACCACGGTTCGTTCTCGAGATCCGAGTCTTCACAGTTGTGCTGCTCTGCTGATGACGGAAGCGAAGCTAACCTCTGCAGCTCTCCTGAGATGTCGCTACTGCAAGCCGAAAAATCGCTAATAGCTTGGGAAATTTCGAGCAAATCAAAATCCGAAAACGAGGACTTAATTGGTTCGTTGCTCTCCATGGCAAGCTCTCTAAGCCTGAAATCGATAACGGATTCCGTTAAGGTTTCCGAGACTCGGGAGGAATTTCCATCGACCGGACCCGGACACGAGCAGGTATCTTCTTTTTGGAAGAGATTCGAGCGAATGGTTCGCATGGATCTACCTAAAGGCCTTTGAACCTTAGCTGAAGACAAAGAAGAAGCAGAAGAAGAAGAAGAAGAAGAAGAAGAAGAAGAAGAATAGCGAGACTGCGTTGAAGGAAGCTGGTTGGAGTAAGATTCTCCAAGCGGGACCATGGCGGAAGAGGTGTCGTCTCAATCAGAAATTCCGGATTATCACGCATGCAGAACTGCAGAAGAAAGACTTCCAGGCATGGGAGATGAGTTTTCAAGATTAGTTGTTCATGGTTTTTTATGGTTAATGCGAGAGATGCTCTATAATGGTGGTTTCTGTAAAAAGGAAGATCAAGCTCTGGAAGAGAGGAGTTGATCGAGTGAGGGGAGTCGCTGATTGACTTGATTTTATTAATAATCTTGATTCTTGTTCGCTCGGACGGAAGAGAACGTGGGCCTACTGGGCTTCCAACTTGTCAGTTGAGGCCTGGCCTATGGGCTATATAGACCTATAGGGCTAAAGCTATAGTGTTGTATTAAATGAAATTACGAAAATGTCATCGATTAAAGATTCTCATCTCTGCGAAGTTTACGGTTTATGGTAAGGGTACAAGGAGTCCTGGTTTAATTCAGAAAAGGTAAACGCGGTTCAGGTGACAAAAACAGTACGATCTTGATTATTGACTAGGGCGCGAATCACATGGTCCCTGGTAAAAAGTGAGCCTCCCTCGATCATACGCCGTTGGATTTAAAATTGGCCTTTAAAATTCGTAACCCAGAGTACAAGAGGACGCATACTTTTTTCCGTGAGTCAAAACAAAATGAGTGAAAACTGAAAAGACGCAGACGCTCCTACGGTCCTTCCTCTTCGATTTTCTGTCCTTATTGGACGGTGGATAATACCACCACGTGGACCATATTATAGACTTGACATGATAATATCAATTACGTAGACGTGTTTTCCTTTCCACCGGCAAGGAGGAATAAAAAAGAAAATGTTTATAACTATGGATGGAGATTTGAACTGCATAATTAATAATTTTTTGGTATTTTATAATTAATAATTTATTGGTAATTATAAATAATAATTTAATAATTGAAGAAGAAGGAAAAATATTTTTGGAAGATGATTAAATTCGCATTTTGTGGTCAATTTTGATAAAGAAAATGGTGGGTAAGACGTTGGTGGGTTGGCTGGTGGCAGCCTAGCGGCTGTGACGTAGAAGATTTTAAGGTTGTCCAAAATCTAAATAAATAAATAAAATATGTTCTTTTGGGGGTAGGAATCTCTTCTAAGGAAAATCCGTCTTCTTTTATAAATAAATGATTTTGTTGAATAATTTGTACATGACGCCATTTAAGTTGAATTTTGAAAAATTAAATTTGAACTTTTTGTTTTAAATGAAATTATTAATGCAGTTGGATTATGGAATGAAAAATCTGAAGGATTAGATTAGACGTAGACGGCCAACCACTTTGGATATCAAGCGGAAGTGAAGATTAGATATCTATTGGTCATTGATTGCCCCTCTTCTGATGATGGATTGGACCGGGCAATAAATATCGTGGTATACCAAACTTTTTTATTATATAATATATATATTAAACAAATTAATATATAGATATGGACCATATGGTTGGTTTTTCCTCAGTCCCCACAATTCTCCTCACGTTATAAAAATTGGCCACCTGTCTACTAATATGTGTCCCAACATCTCATGTGCGAGCCTAATGGAAAGGATGTTAAGTCCATCCATAAAACATCAGTTCGAGACCGTCTCACTTCGGGAGGGCTAAGGCTAACCAAACGCTAGTCCTACAGAAAGTGGAAGGTGGATTTGGATTCCACCCTTGTTTGCAATTCCTATTTTATTTCTTACTAAAATATAATATATAAAGTTGATCAAGATCGTGATCTTCATAATATACGTTGAGTTTAAGCTCGGCTGAAAACTTATTAATTTGGTTTAAAGCAAATTAACCTTTTCTCAAGATGAATCCAAAGAATTGAGATCTGTTCCTCGCTCCTTACACCGATTTCACAGCCACATCCCACCGTGCAGTAGGAACATCTCTCCATGAATAATAAATACAAACATAGGAGATGTTCCCGGTGGGAAGTGGCTGTGAGGTCTCAAATTGCTCACAAATAACTTGAATTCTCGTCCACCCCTAATGATGGCCTGATAAGGATAGGACCCTCTATCTTTCAATTATGTCAGTCTCAGTGTCCCCCATTCAAAGAGAGACACTTGTCCCAACACTAGGCACCTAGTCACATGTGCCCACCATTGCTCGTGTATTTTTTCTTTTAATATTTTAAGTTTTTATTTGGAAAAGGAAAACTTTTTGTGAAAATTGGTTTAAAACTATCTAATTAGATTGAACCAAAATGGAGGGAAATTGGAATTGAAATTGATTGACTTCTTGGGAAAGGGCTGCTCTAGTGTACCTAATATGGGAATCCAGAAACAAGTGAACATCTGAAGATCTCTATCTCTCCCCTCGGGAGGTCATAGCAAAATGGAGCACATACCTTCACCAGAATGATCATCATACTTGATGGGGGTGATTTGGCGTGACACCTCAAAACCCTCGGACGATACCTCGGCGTCACGTGGACAGTTGCGAATTTCGCTAAGTTAAGGAAGCACACCTTAGAACTAGTTTTGAGTGTCTCGCATACAGTTTGGGCACTTTGGAAGAGTGGTTAGAAGTACCTCGCCTAGGATCGACCTGTTGTACCTCGTCAATACCAGTCCAAATGATTTTGGCATGAAGGGCGACCTTTCTGAGGACTTGTTGACTTGGCTAAGGTCCAAGTGGCGACATGCATGTTGTGTTCGCCGACCTCCTCTAAGAGCACCTTGTGACTTGAACCCTCTAGAAGTCAGCTCCTGCACCGTCCACTACAAAGGCAACTAGATAAGGTCTTATTATTATTATTATTATTATTATTATTATTATTATTGATGTAACCATTTCTGGTCACGTACCAATTTTTTGTGATGTATTAATTTTTTTTGGCTAAGTGCCTCGCCATTTGACCTGCTCCCAGGAGAGGATGGTGGAGCTCCCTGGTGCTGAGATACTTGGTGACGAGCTCCCTGGCGGTGAGCTACCTGGTGACGAGCTCCCTGGTGGTGGGCTACCTGGTGACGAGCTCCCTGGCGGTGAGCTACCTAGTGACAAGCTCCCTGGTGGTGAGCTACTTGGTGGTGAGCTCCCTGGTGGTGAGCTACCTGGTGATGCGCAACCCGACTGCCCTCTGCATGAGGTGATCTCCTCCCCTTTGTAGGTGGCGGAAGCTGAGGGACCTGCCAGAACTCCATCTTTTCCTCCTCTTTGTAGGCGGCGGGAGCTGAGGAACCTGCGAGAACTGAATCAGAGGACCCGGGGGTATTTTCCCGACGGGGACTCTCCGATGCCTAAGTTAGCATTCTGATTGTAGGGAGCTTGGAGAGAATGAGAGAGTTAGAGAGCAGGGATTACCTCCATTTTTTTATTCTCTCCCCCTTGTCTTTGGGGTCGGAGTCCTTATATAGTGGTGTCCTGTCAAATCAGGCATAACAGCCTCTGTCAAGTCAGGCATAACAGCCTCTGTCAAGTCAGGCGTAACCGCCTCTGTCTCTCTGCCGCAACCGTTACTACCAGAGCTGAGGTGGTGGGTGCAGGCGACTGTTGCAGAGTACGGCTCTGCTAGTCAAGGGACAGCTCTCAGGACTGGCAGGCACGGCACCACCTAGCGAGAGACGTGGGCGTAGGTCTCCGGATCTGTCAGGTACGGTTGTCAGGCAGGAGATCTTCCTGCGATACGCCGAGCAGCCCCTAAGTGTCGAGCTACCTGTAAGTGCCGAGCTGCCCCTAAGTGGCGAGCTCTTCGTAAGACACCAGGCTGCCTGCGAAGTGGCCAGCTGCCTGTGGCGAGCTACCTATGCCGAGCTACCTGTAAGTGCCGAGCTGCCCCTAAGTGGCAAGCTCTTCGTAAGACGCCAGGCTGCCTGCGGAGTGGCCAGCTGCCTGTGGCGAGCTGCCTATGCCGAGCTGCCCCTAGCTGTACCGAGCTCCCCAAGCTATGCTGAGTTACTTGTGGCGAGCTCTGCCGAGCTGCCTGTGGCGAGCCATGCCAAGCTATCTATAAGTGGCAAACTGTGGTAAGATCTACCGAGCTGCCCGAGCTTCCCGAGCTGCCCAGTTGTCAAGAGGCTACACTGATTTGCATGAAGTGCCAGGTGTCACAATTTCACTGGAGGGCCAAATCCGCCCTCATCAATTATTATTATTATTATTATTATTTGCATCGATCATCAAATCAACTAAATTTTTTCCTTTTTTCTAAATTAGTTTTTTACATATATAAAATATTTATAAATTATAATTGTTAATTGATTAGTTATTATTTTATTTAATGCTTAAATTCCAAAACTTATTGCTCATAAATTTATAGTTTATAAATATGTGTAACTTCTATCATTTTAATTTGGTATATCATATGCTATTTTCATTGATTTACAAACTTTAATTAATTTATCCTTAAACTTTGAGGCTTATACCTTGTAACGCCTTAAGCTTAAGTCTCACAACCCTCACCTTTTTGGAGTATTATGCCTCAGCTATGCTTTAGCCTTTTAGAATCTTGGTCAAATTGAATTTAAACTCAAATTTCTAACTCGAATAAAATTCAAACCTCATATTTTCTGATGAATCGAATTTGAATAACCAAATATTCAGTTGGGCTCGCACTAGAATCCACACCTAATACTAGTAAATAGTAATTACATACTATCACGCCATCACGACAAACACGAGTTCAACAGGCCGGCCGGTTATCAGGATAAAAAATTCGAACGCTAGCAATTGGCGATGGCAATTACTCGAGAATTGGATAGTGGGTAGTGTTTATTTAACTTAGAGAAGTTTCCTCCTTGTAGTTTTCGGAGCTAGATGTAGTGTGACCAATAAGAGTAGGGGAATTTTTATGAAAAAAAAAGACCAAAGAGCTGGGGAATTGCGTCCACAGACTTATTGGTAAGAATATCAAAAAAACAATTGGCTGTGGCCAGATGCTTTATTATCTCTATGTATTTTGGGATGATAAGGATATTTGAGGTTACCACATTACTGGTGAGTGTCGGTTTTCATAACTTCATTTTCTATAAAATAGCTTTGTTTTTTTAAGAATCTCTACCATGGTTTTTAAAATCAGTTTGGATTGGACCGAACTGTTGGATCAAAAAAATTAGGAATCGGTCACTTGATTGGTTTTGTTTTACCCTAAAATCATTATTTTGATAAAAAACTATTGATTTAGTTAATAAACCTTTAACTCAAATGGTCAAATCGTTTGAACTATCCAATAATTTTTTATTATTTTTATTTATTTTTTAACTTTTATCTATTCTATTCGAACGATTGAACCTTTTGACCCGGGAACTGGACCCTAAATGATTCGTTGTCCGATTCGATTTAAAGAAAACTCCTTCAACAACGTAGCTTTTAACTTTTTTATTTTAGGGGAGATTCAAATGTCAAATCCATTAATTCTACCACACAAAACACAAAACAACAAGTATCTATCGGTCGACCGCCAAAAGAGTCCAAAAGTGGAGAGACGTGAACCGGTGGACGGCCGTACTCGTGGCAAATCAATCCAAATTCCAAAACACCTCTTTTCTAAGTTTTTAGAAAATGCTGATTAATTAAAATAGGATAAATTTTTTAAATTATCCTTATGATTTTGTTAATTTTCTAAATGTATTCTTACTGTCTAAAAAATTGATTAATACTATTTTTTATTTCTGATAATTGATTAATTTTACTTTTATCGTTAATATCCGTTGATATTCCGTCAAAATCCATATACACGTGATATCACCAGACATTTAAAATTCTTTTAAAATCCAATATTACCCTTCTCTCGTCCCCTTCTTCCTTTCCGTAGCAGCAACCGAACTGGATAACCAGCGGCGGATATCCCTATCCACCTTCGGCCCCTCGTCGCCGTTGTAACTTTTGCTCGTTCCTTCACCTCTCCGACTCTTGTCTGTTACTCAATCTCGATATGGGTCCTCTTCAAGGACTTGGGTTCTTCTCAATCTCAATCCTTCTATTTGTTAGTTGCATCAAAATCATCGGCGGAAGCACTTCCACCAACCTCTTTTACTCGTACTTCGATGGCGGAGCCTATATTAATTCTGAGTATTCGTTCCTCAAGAATAGAAGTTCATATCGGCGTTCACACTTGCCGTCAACGTCGCCATCGTTGGAGGAGGAGGACTGTAGGGTTTGGGTCACGAAGTATTCGGAAGAGATCCTGGAGCTGGCGAAGCGGCCGGAGACAATGGATTGGTTTAAGGGGTTGAGGAGGAGGATACATGAAAACCTTACCTGAACAAATCGTTTACGCCGGCGCACTGCTGGAGTTGTGGGTGTGTAGGTGAGAGGGGCTTCGTTCTACACTCAGGTCCAGACTAAGTTCTCCACTCAGTCACGACAGAGGCGATCTGGGCAGTTTAGGTGTGTAGGTGAGAGGTGGGAGGTGGTCATGGAGCATTTATGGGAGGTGGTCTCTACGATGCGGAGTACGGACAGCCAGGGGCGTGCTGGGCGTGCGGTGACTACAGACAGGGGCGGTCGGGGCAGTGTGGGTGTGTATGCAAGAGGTGGGAGGTGGTCATGGAGCATTTCTGGGAGATGGTCTCGGCGACTACGAAGAACGGACATGAGTACGAGACGAGTCGACTGGTTTGGAGCCGGTGGTCCTCCCTGAGTGCACCGGTGGTCCTCCCTTCATTGCACTCAGGGCAGAAATGGATGCTCTGCCTATTCAGGTTTTATTTATCTTTCGTTAGAACATATATGATGCTGACTTTTTTTTTTCCAACTATTTGGCCTAAATTTCGTTTTGGATGAGAATCCGATTTATTTGATAATACTCTATTTTTCAACCATTCTCTCTATTTTTCCAACCATTCAGGTTGATAATGCTCTGTTTTTCCAACTATTTGATAATGCTCTGCTGAAATTTCGTTTCCAACTATTCCGGTTTTTTCCAACCATTGTAATTAGGATTTTCAACCTCATAATAATACTCTTCTTTTGATGTTTCATGGGATCATCAGTTTTTTTTTATTTGATCGTTGGCCTCATTTCATGGCTGCTGTTAATGAGCATTTCAAAGATGCTATTAAGTGCCAGTAATTGAACCAAAAGTAGTTCTCAGATTAGATGCTAGAATTGATAATGGAGAGCGAAATTTTTATTTTGAAAATTTAAAGAAGAATAAAAGGTAAAATAGTCTTTTTATCTTCCTATTAACGAATATTAATAGTAAGGGAAATATTAATCAATTTTCAAATAAAAAGGATACATTTACTCAATTGACTAAACCATAAAAGTAATTTAAGAAGAAAGTAAGTCTAGCATAGTAATTGATAATCAGGGAGGCGTATGCGTTTTCTTTATTTAGGAGTCAATGTTAACTGATGATTACTCAATAGTAATTATATTGTTAATTGAATTCCAACAATAATTACTTTCGTAATTGACATCACAGATTCACAGTACAATCAGCTAGTGGAGTCGTTTCTTGAGATGAACAAACCAACCAGGTACGGAATTTCAGAAGGAGGTTTGGAATAATGGGTCATCCTCGTCCACGGGTTTTGCTAGCCAGTTGGGACTTGGGTGGGCAACTTACGGAGAAAATCGCGAATCGCGTAGCCTGTAACTATCATGGTGGACCGTCGATGGAACAAATGAAGACTACCCCATGCACCATAATAACCCAAACCACAATTTGATAATAGATATTAGAAGCCGGTGCTCACCAACAACCAACCAAACATTAACAAAAAAAACAAGAAGGAAATTGCTCTGTATTCGGAACCCCAACTAGTTTGACTAATTTTTAGCTTCTTTCTTTTTTTTTTCTTTAAAATCTGCAAGGGATGTCAAGTCAAACAAACTAGGTATTTATCCGGTTGGTCATATACCAACTAGAGAAAGAGTACAACATATGTATTTGGGTTATTGTGCATGCATGGTTGGTGGGAATGGATGAGCTCAAAACTTTATTTTTTTGGCCTATATACAGCTGCAGATTTGGTTTTGGGTCAACTATATAATAAAGTTAACGCTGTTCGGGTTGGGTTGGTTTACTTGTATTTTTCCAATCGACTTCATCTGATCGGTTTATCTAGAAATGAAATCGAAATCGACCCAGTACTAAGTAAAACCGATTTGGTCGGTTTGAATCAACTTGGATCGGTTTTGTGAATGCTTCTTTTAGTGTGAATGGTAAAAGATTCAAGTCTAAGAAAGCAAATATTGAATGCCTGAAAATTAAAAATGATTTGATGGATTAAAACTGATATTTTATATATAATATGTATATTTCTGAAATAAAGCTTATATATCCACAAATATATATCTGAAATATATATTAAAACTGAAATATATCAGATATATATAATATCTGAAATATATTATATATATAATATATATCTAAATCGGTTTGGATCGATTCGATTTATGTTTTTTTGTAACCCGAAACCAATCAATACTGAAAAAAACCGACCAACTTAGATTGAATCGGACCAGATTGGTCAGTTTACTCAGTTTAAATCTTGTTATGAACAGCCCTAAATAAAGCCACGTATTGACGTACACCATCTACAAGTTGCTCGTCATAAGCATTGCCACTTGCAAAGTTAATGATATTAATACTACATGTGTGATGTGTGGTCGTCGAATTTCAATTAAAATTAGAGAACAACGTCAATAACAACAACAACAACAGCAATGTCTGAGTTGTTGAATTTGCAAAAAGCCTTTTAATCAACCTCAGACGTTTGTCCATTTCCGCGTTAACTTTGATTCTGTATTCTGTACCCTTTTCATGTATTCATTTTAGTTTAATGTCGTATGTAGATATATTTCTTTGCTTAAAAGGGATAAAGTTATTACATTTCTATTTTTCTCTTCTGCAAAGCCCTTGCTAACAAGAATTTTTCCTTGCACGTTCCATGATTCATGGTATGAACTATGAACTTGATCAAAGAATCATCTTTATTAGAACTGCAGATGTGCATTGATTAATTGCATGTAGCACTTATAAGTGATATTTTCCTTGTATAGTTGTATTCATGAAATGACACCATTAAATGCAAGTGACAGGACCTCATGTGGATAAAAGTACTAAATTGATGGGAGAGCAAGCAGCTCCTGTCTGGTTATAAAAGGGTCTCACCCCCCAGATCCCCAATCCACCACCACCTGGTCCACAATCCCACATCCCCATATATTTCAGATAAGGGGCCCGGGCCCCACCGGCCCAAAACTTGTCACATGCCCCATGTACTAGAAATGATAGAGGCCCGCCATCTCATGGGCTTTATGGAGCCCAAATATGCTGCAACCAAAGGTTATCCGGATCTTCTATAACCACCGATTACAACCGTATGATCCCTTTAAGCCCAGGCTTAGATGAGTCCAACTGCACAATACCCACAATAGGTTGTATAGGTTGCAGTGTGATTTGGGTTTTAAACTTTAAAGTAATGGGGTGTGGGGTTTTTGTATGTTAACTATTTTCCCTTCAGGAGCCCCACCCCATAATGGCTTTTCAAAATTCACGTACTAATGTTGATTAAAGTGATGTACCAAGATGCCGAGTGAAGTGGTAAGAAAATCCACCACATTTCAACAGTTTGGACTTTGGACTAGTGAGTGATTGCAATTTATTTTGAAATGCTTGTTAATGAAGGGTGATTTGGACTTTGGACATGTATACGTGAATCAGCATATACGACAGCTTGGCATAGGCGGATTGGTACGTGGACATGAATCAACGCAGGTGACAGCTCGCCATGGGGCAAGCTCAAGCACACCGATGTCTCGAGCAGCACTTTGAATTAAGTTCGTCCCAGTTTGCGAACTGGAACAACGAGCTCGCTCCAGGCCCAAGCAAGTGGGCCGCCTCGAAGACAACTCACCTCAAGCAAAACCACCTCGGCACGCCACCAGTAGCTCGTCACACGGTAGCTCGCTACAGGGTGGCTCGGCGTTCTATGGGAAGCTTCTCATCTGACAAAGCTGTACCTGCTAGACTGCTCCCGCATCCCTCGTCTAACGGTGCAACGCCTGCCAATTCAGAAGGCTGCGCCCCTGTCTTCGGCCTGGCGACGTCGTGCTTACAGGTTGTCCCCCCAGCTGGCGAGACCGTACCATGCAACGGTCATTGTAGCCTACCTGCTCTTGGCCCTAACAGTAACGGCCAGCCACTCCAAGGTACGACCTGATAGCAGATCGCCACAGCAAGGATTTGGGATCAATCCCACTAAACATGTCAGACGCCAGTATATAAGCACTCTGTCTCCTCAGAGGCAAAGGTATCGCATATTCACCACTCTCTAGCTCTCATCTTCTTGCGTACTCATTCTCAGCTCGCTACCGAATTCTAACTTAAGTGTCGGAGAGTCCCCACCGGGTGTTCAACCCCAGGTCCCTTCATCCTTCTTGCAGGTATCTCTTGCCCGTCGCCAGCTAGAAACCTCATCACTTCCAGCTAGGAGTGGCCGGATTGTGCATCATCAATTGGCGTCGTCTGTGGGAACGTTTCAAAAGGCTTCTCTACCAAACTTTCACCAGCATCTATGGCGTCTTCTAGCAATGTTGGGCCTAACAACAAAACAAACACCTTTGGGGGGCACCTCCAAGCTCCCACTGTATGCATTGGACAGTTTACTGTACCCCTCAACACCTTCGGAGTTCCCACGCTGGACCTACCTCAGGTCATTGAAGCTGTGAACTACCCACTCCCTCCTGCGATGAACACCACCTTCGCTGAACCAGCCGTGGTCTCCCTCGCGGTGGAGCAGAGCCAGCTTGGTGACTTAGTGCAGTATGTACGAGTCATGCAAGCCCAAATGCAGCAAGTCTAGCAACTTCAACATTACCACCAACAAGTCATATGTCACTTCTACCAGCAGCAGTTCCCAGCGCTACAACAGAGCCATCAGCCAGCCCAACCGCGGTGCCCCATAACATTGCTGAACCTGCAGCCTTTCGATCGCCACTGAAGTAGCCGACCTCCCCGCAGAGGGGAGACCTCCCAGGCCTCGTTCCACAGCAAGAGAGAACCAATAGCCCCCGCCACCTCGTAGCAACAAGACAGGTTGGGGAGCACTTGCCCCACCAAGGCCGGTTCATCCCAGCACGTGCAATCGGAAGCCTCGTTGACGGGCAATCATTTCGAAGTCCTGGCAACAAACTCTAGGCGAAATCCTTCAGCTCGCGAAAGCCAGTTCCAGTCAGACTCACACCAGGTCAAGGCCTGACCTAGCAGCACCAAAACAACCAACACTAGCACGAACTCAGCCAAAAGGCAACGGAGGCGGTGTCCCAAAGCCCACCGTGCACTAATCCCTGAACAACTCGCGGAGCTTGACCAGCCGGAGCAGCCTGAAGGTAAGGCGGGAGCGGACCCGGGAGTCACAAAGGCCGCACCCCTCCTTTCGGTACCATCTCCCCTCTCTCCTGACCTCCTAACGGATCCCATGCCGAAAGACTTTAAAATTCCCCCTCTAGACAAGTACGATGGGTCGTTCGATCCGAATGACCATGTGGACTCCTTTCAATCCCAAATGCACCTTGCCGGAGCTAGCGAAGCCTACATGTGCGTCGCCTTCTCCACGACCTTCAGAGGAGTAGCGCGCACATGGTATACAAATCTCCCATCCGGGACAATCCGGAGCTGGGCGCAGTTCGTGCAAGCGTTCACCTCGCACTTCATCACTAGCAAGAAGTGTCCGAGGTCGCAGGAAAGCCTTCTCAGCATTGTCCAGAAAGAGGGAGAGTCCATTCGAAGCTACATCAAGCGCTTCAACGACACCTGCCTCTCAATCCCGAACTTGGACCCCGCGGTGAGACACGTCGGGGCCAAAAGAGGAGTCACTCACCGGGAGTTCAAGTGGCATGTGGTAGCGAACAAGCCCAAGGACATCACCGCCTTCCTCAAGCTCGCTGACCAGTTCATCGAGACTGAAGAGGAAATGAACTAGAAGGCCGGAGCCCCAGCGGAGAAGAGGAGGAGAGACAACGACAAGGCACACCACAGAAGTAGTAAGAGGAAGAAGAGCAAGTCCCCAGCCAGGGGAGACAAGTTAGGTTGGCACCCCCGAGCTCCTCCAGTCGAGAGGACAAACTCCACCCCTCTCAACGCGAGTGAGGGGAAATCTTAATGACAATTAAAGATGCACCATTTGTAAGGTGGCCACCCCGGATGAAGGGGGACCCCGCCACCTGGAATAAGAATGTATATTGCCATTTCCATAAAGACCACGGTCATAGTACCAAAAACTGTAAAAGTCTCCACGACGAGATTGAGGAACTCATTCATCATGGGTACTTAAAGGATTTTGTACAGAAAAGTAATAAAAGCCAGGCAGATCGATAGGGGGAGCAGAAGAGAAACGCCCCTGAGTCCAGTAACAAGCGAGCCGAGCAGCAAGAACCACCCGAAGAAAGACCAGTTCGCAGGGTGATAAACACAATTACCGGCAGATCCATCGTCGCAGGCTGCACCTCGGTGGTAGGGAGGACCTCGGTCCGCGATCTGGAGCATAAAGAATGGAACCCGCCGAAGCGCCCACGGCCTGTAGATCCCATATCTTTCATCGAGGACGATGGGCGAGGAGTCCAGTACCCCCATGATGACGCGCTAGTCATAAGGACGAAGATCAATGACTTCGAGGTCAGACGTGTCTTGGTGGATTCAGGAAGCTTGCCCGATATCCTGTTCAGAAGCACCTTTGACAAGTTACAGCTCCGGGAGAGTGACCTCCAGCCCGTGAGCACCCCTCTAGTGGGCTTCAGTGTTGAGAAAGTTAGGCCCCTCGGCTGAATCTCGTTGCATGTAGAGATCGGGACGTTGCCCAGCATCGCAAGATTTGAGCACACCTTCCTGGTGGTAAACATGCCTTCCCCATACAACGCCCATATAGGAAGGCTCATCACC